AGCTTCCTGGCGATGGGTGCTCTGCTCATCAGCTGGGCAGCCCCAGAATCGGTCCTGGACAGCCACCTGAGTGCTCTGCTTACAGGGAACGCCAGCCTGGCGTACCCCCCAGAGTTTCACTGCACGTGGAAACGACTGGCTTACAGCATCAGGCCTAAACTACAGCAGCGTCACCGCACAGAGGTAGTGATAAGTTGCTGACGTTCTGCTTTTTACTAGGAATGTAAAATCCTGTGTTTAACTGATTGAAGGCAGAGTGGGAGGCAGGGGGGGGGGCACCCCAGCCAAACTGCATGGCCCCCCCGCCTGCTGGGGTTGGGCAAAAGCGGCCATCGCAGCTCCCAGCCCCTCCATGGGGGCTGCCACTTCCGCTACAGCCCCTGCTCCCCATGCGATGGTGTGGGCTAGGAGCCAGCAGCCCCATGCAGGAGGACCAGCAGAGCTACAGCAGCTCTCCACCCACGGCCCAGGGCTGATCCTAAGAACATAAGAACGGCCGTACTGGGTCAGACCAAGGTCCATCTAGCCCAGTGTCCTGTCTGCCGACAGTGGCCAGCACCAGGTGCCCCAGAGAGGGTGGACCGAAGACAATGATCAAGCGATTTGTCTCCTGCCATCCCTCTCCAGCCTCTGACAAACAGAGGCCAGGGACACCATTTTATCCCCTGGCTAGTAGCCTTTTATGGACCTAACCGCCATGAAATCATCTAGCTTCTCTTTAAACTCTATTATAGTCCTAGCCTTCACAGCCTCCTCTGGCAAGGAGTTCCACAGGTTCCTGGGTACCACTTAACCATTACTCAATAAGCATCACTCATTAAGGGTGATACTTACCAAAGGTCCACCTAGCCCAGAAAGACACTCCCCACATCCCCCTGGCCCACCAGAGCCTGGGGGGCCCTGGGCTAGTAGATGTTAGGGGTCCCCCAACGCTCTAGGGTGAGGCCAAAAATGAGGAGTTCAGTGTGTGGGAGGGGGCTGCTGGGAAGCAGGTTTGGTGCGTGGGGGGTTGGGGCGTCTGGGAGGGCGCAGGAGCAGGCTGAGGGTGGGACGGCTGGGCGGGAGGTAGGGTGAAGGAGCAGAGAGGGGGTGCAGCAGCAGACTGGGGAAGGGGAGCTGCAGGCCAAGCACCAGCTCCCTGATGCTGGGGCGGGGGGAGCCCCAAGGCTCAGGGTCCAGATCCAGGTAAGCTGGGGCCAGATCCAGCCTCTGGGGCTGTAGATTCCCCACTCTTGTTCTAGGGCCTTTGCCTGGGTTTCTATCTGCCATAGGTTCCTCTGTTGGCCCCTGTTGCCCCAGTCTGCCAGTGCCTCTCAAACGTTAATGTATCTATCACCCTTATTCCCCGCCTGCCGGAGAGCCCGGAGCCCACGGAGCTGTCTGAAATGGGATGTCTTTCCATCCTTCTGGGAGTTTTCAGTCTCTTGATACTCTCTGTCCTACTCACCTTTCCTAGGAAAAGGCCTCCCTCCCTCCATCACTGCTGCTTGACAGGTGGGGAAACCGAGGCACGGAGGGGGAGTAACTTGCTCTGGAGCACGCAGCGAGTCAGCGTTAGATCCCAGGTGTCCTGGCGCACAGGCCCGGGCTCAGACCAGCCCTCTGTCTGCACAGCAGCCTGACCTCCCGGTGCGTGGCACTTTGCAGCCTGTGGCCACCAGATGCTGCTGTTTAGCAGAGAAAAACACCAGCTGGGAACAGTGGCCCTTGCAAGCCACCCTGCTTTGCGCCAGGTCCAGCCCCATAGGAGGCAGGGGCGAGGAAACCGTTTTGGGGTCAGGGGCTGCTGACCCATAGAAAAATTGGTTGGGGGCTGCACGAAAGTGAGAAGCCAAAAAAGCCCCCAAAGCCCCTCCCTGGCGTGGCCCTGGACTGAGAAGCAGAAGGACAAGCCCCACATTCCCCCAACACAGCAGAGCCTAGGGGGACCTGGGCTAGTAGATTTTGTGGGTCCCCCTAGACTCTGGGGTGGGGACAAAAATGAGGGGTTCAGTGTGTGCGAGGGGCTGCCAGGAAGTGTGCTGGGGGGGTTGGTGGGTCTGGGGGAGGGAGGGTGCAGGAGTGTGTTGGGGGGTGGTAGCCTGGGAACACGGCAGGGTGCAGGATGGGGCTGGAGGGGAGACAGGGTGCTGGCTTTCCAGCCCTGCAGAGGGGCCATAGAGCTGGAGAATCAGCACCAACTTCCTGATGCTGGGGGAGGAGCCCTGAGCCTCGGGGGCCAAAGCTAGGCAAGCTGGGGGCCATATTCAGCCCCCAGGCTGGAAGTTCCCCACCCCTGTACTAGACACGACAAATAGCTGATCAGCTGTTTGTCGGCTCAGCGCGGCAGCCATGTAAATTTAAATGAAGCGGCGATTATTTAAATCGCCGCTTCGTTTTCCTATGTCTGGTAGCCTAATCTACATGCCTCTGGCGACAGAGGCATGTAGTCTAAACGTACCCTTAGACAGATCAAAATTACAAATGAAGCCAGGATTTGAATTTCCTGCACTTCATTTACATAATGGCGGCCACGCGTTCTTCCAAAAATGGGTATTTCAAAAGTGAAACCACCATCTAGACGCAGCTCTTCTGAAAGAAAAACCCTTTTTCAAAAGATCCTGTAAACCTCTTAACTGTCAGGGTGGTTGAACACTGGAATAAATTGCCTAGGCAGGCTCTGGAATCTCTATCACTGGAGATATTTAAGAGCAGACTGGATAGACATCATAGAATCATAGAATACTAGGACTGGAAGAGACCTCGAGAGGTCATCGAGTCCAGTCCCCTGTCCTCATGGCAGGACCAAATACTGTCTAGACCATCCCTGATAGACATTCATCTAAACTACTCTTAAATATCACCAGAGATGGAGATTCCACAACCTCCCTGGGCAATTTATTCCAGTGTTTGACTACCCTGACAGTTAGGAACTTTTTCCTAATGTCCAACATAACCTCCCATGTTGCAGTTTAAGCCCATTGCTTCTTGTTCTAGCCTCAGAGGCCAAGTTGAGTAAGTTTTCTCCCTTCTCCTTATGACACCCTTTTAGATACCTGAGAACTGCTATCATGTTCCCCCTCAATCATACATCTATCAGGTATGATCTAGATGGTGCTTGGTCCTTCTGTGAGGGCAGGGGACTGGACTCGATCTCTCAAGGTCTCTTCCAGTACTAGTATTCTGTGAGTCTATGGTCCCTATTCAGCAGGCATTTTTGCTGGGGAAAAGGGGCAGTATATCTGTGCTTTATCTGGCTAGCTATTAAGTGTTATAATAAAGTCCATATAGCATGTTAAACTGAAGACATTACATACACTTCAAGCTGTAGCTGTTTTTAGCACTGTGTGGGGAAAAATTGCAGGGGATCATGTGAACAATGGCAGCAGAACATAAAAGATAATAATTCACCACATTAGAAAGTTTCTTGAATAGTTAAGAAATGCATTTCAACAACTCTTAATGTTCATTTCTTATCGCTTAAGCAGAAGATAAATTAGAAACAATACCAATAGCCTAAGCCAGTGGTTTTCAAACTATGGTTCACGATCCAGTACTGGGTTGTGGAATGTCAGGTATGGGGTCTTGTTGCTGCAGGGTGCTAAGGCAGTCTACCTCTCTGTTCTGGCACCACAGGCTGTGCTATGCCGCAGAAGCGGCTGGCAACAGGATCATCTCCTAGGGGGACAGGGTTCAGGGCACTGCATCTACCCCATGGTTTGGCTCTGCACTCCCATTGGCTGGGAACTTGCTGCTGGCTGCTTCTGAGTTGCAGCATGATCTATGGTGCCAGGAGAGGCAGGAAGCTGCCTTAACACCCTTGCTGCACCGCTGACAAGGAGCCGACCAAGGTAAGCTCCTTCTGCCCCCAACCTTGACCCCCCCCAAAGCCAGAGCCACCTCCTATACTCCAAAGCTCCCCTCCTCAGCCCCACCCCGGAGCCCACACACTAGTCAAATTCTGTTGTGTGGCGGCATCAACAATTTTCTTCAACTGGGTCACGAGCAAAGACGTTTGAACCCCGCTGTGTTCGTGGCCCAACCTCTCTCGGGGGGCGAGAGACGAGTTCCTGCTTGCTGGCTCCACTTCTGAGATGGGGCAGGTTTCCCTGGAGGCTGGGAGGTCAGAGGCAGGGGGATCCTTTGGTGCAAAGTGTTCTCCACAGGGGACGGAAGGGGGGTTGCTTTTCTCTTTTCCCTGGGGGGGTTCGTTCCAGAGTGGAGGGACGGCCCTGCTTTCACCCACAGCGTTATTACCAGGCATTTCGTGCGCTGGCTGAGGTACCCCCGGCATTGTGGGAGGCGTGGGTACGACCTGTGGGCCTTGAAGGGTGTGTTGGGGAGGGGGGTTAGCTATTGTCGTGGAGGGGAGGTGTCTGTGGATTTTGCATCTGTTGTTCTGGCAAGAAACTCAACTTCTCTCTAAGCCCCCCTTGGCCAGTGGACACAAGGCAGTTGTGGTCGCAGCTTTACCACGAGGTTGGAAGAAGCTCGAAGCTGCTCCAGAGCCATTCGCTCGTGTGACAGCTGCAAACAGCCTTGTGTTCACTGGGCTTCAATACATAGGAGCTGACCCACCCTGATCCCTAGAGGGGACGCAGCCCAGAGGGCTGGCCGCTGGCTGCACAGCCCTGTGTGCGTAGGTTTGGAGTTAGCGCTTGTTTTGCAATGGCTGTTCCAAGCAGGCTGGTTTCTTGCCAATGAAAAAGTGTGCGCGCGAGTTGTGTGTATTTTTTTTCCTTTCTTTTTTTCTCCAAACCCAGCGCCCTTAGTAGTTTCCTTGTCAAAACTTCCTGAGTCGGTTCCCAGCCCCCTTCCTGCTCCCTCCCCCTCCGATGTTTCAGCGCTCACACTGAACAGTCCCTCCCTGCCGCAGACTCAGCACCCACCCTGCCCCGAACAGAAGCCAAGTCCCAAACCCAAAAGGGGGCTCGCTAGGTCTTTTCTCCCTGGAGAGGGAAATAAATTCTCCCTCCCTCATTTTTGTTATTCTACCCTCCCCTTTTCCCCCATTCTTTCAGCTGTTTCCCACGGCCCGTCTGCTCCCTGCTGGAGGATTTCTTGGAAGGCAGCTGGTGCGTTACTTTCCCTGGGACAGGAGAAAGGTGAGTACAGTGGGTTTGCCCACCGCGGATGGTTGGATGGACACAGATTGGCAGCTGTCAGCATGCTGGTCCCTACAAGCCCCAAAAGCCCAGCCAGGAGGCTGCATTCCTGAGGTCGTTGGTGAAGGATTTGAAGGGTGCCTCCTGCTTTCTCCAGAAGGGGCGGGTTGCTGCTTCGCCTCTGATGCAATAGCCCAATATCGGCTGGTCTCTGCCCACACGGCACCTTTGAGCATCCGGGGGCAGACGGCTCGGTGGCTCTGTCTTTCCAAGAGGCTCAATTTGGGTCTCCAGGCCGCGGCTGCAGATCCGTGGGGGCGCCCAGAATTGGGGCCTGCTCTCCGTTCCATCTGGAGCGATTGTACCGGTGGCACTGGACGCTGGTCCAGATTCTGTTCTCCGTGAAAGTGCCGTGCACCCAAAGGAACTCAGGAGGGCAGGGTGGGGGCGGAGGAGGGGGGTCAGGCCATGTTGCGCTGTTGGTGATCCAGGTGTAAAGGCAGAGTTGTTCTGATGGCGTCTGGATGGACCTCACGCCAGGGAGAGCAGGATCAGCCCCGGGGTGCTGGAGCCAGGATCCTGTGGGAAGGGCGGGGGAAAGGTTCAGATGGACCCAGCTCAGGGGCCTGGCACTGGGGCAGGTGATGATCCTCTGTGCCGGGGGGGGGGACCCCCTCGCCTGCCTCTGCTCTTCAGACCCCCTTTTCTGTTCCCCAGCTTGGCCCCGACCCCCTCCTGCCCCTGCAGCAGGAAGATTTGCTCCTCTCTGAGCCAAGTCCTGGGACCCGCTGGATGTGCCATGGGGCTGTTCCTGCCCCCGGCTGGGGGCAGAGGGCCCAGGGTGGGGTGAGTTGGGCAGAGTGGAAGTGGGATGAGGCATGGCCGGGTGGGATGGGGGGGACAAGACATGGGGTAGAGGACAGCGTGGGACAGTGGGCTGGACTGATCTGCAATAGGGCATGGGGGCTGCCTGGATAGATGTGGGGTGGATCTGAGATAGGGGCCTGGGTGGATCTGGGGCAGAAGCTGGGGTGGGGCAGGCAGGGAGGGGGCGAGCCAGGTACCATCTAATCCCATCACGGCGCAGATGCTGCTTGTCCTGCCCTGAACAGCTCCAGCCCAGAGTGGGCAGCCCCCTCCCCCCCCAAAGGCTCCGGCTGTAGGGCCAGTTGTAGCCTCCTGGGGCCAGCGGTCTCCTGGCCAGCTTGCCGCCTGCTCAGCCGGGGGAGGAAGCACGTCAGAGCCGGGACACTGCAGCGGAAACTGGAAGGGCAGAGATAGAGGCTCCTCTCCAGGTCCCTGTGCCTCCCCGGGGCAGATAGCCCTTAAAGGGCCATCGCAAAGAGCTCGAAAGAGAGGCGCTGGGTCTCGGCACAGCCCCCTCCCCAGTAACCCAGGCCCCAAGCAGGGAGTGTGGGAGGGAGACAGAATGGGAGGGCCTCGCCCTCAGACCATCAGGGGACCACAGAGTCCTTCCCAGTCATGTGTCGGGGAGTTCCACAGCTCCGCGGGATCGTTGTCCAGCCTTTAGCAGGGACAGAGAGGAGCAGGGACTCGCACAGGGTCAGCATGAGAAATGGGTGCACAGCCCAGGAGGAGACTTAGCTCCCAGCTCTCCTTGCGCCAGCCACTAGTCTCCCCTCCCCTCCTAAAGCTGGGAATGGAACAGCCTAACTCCCAACTCTCCCTGCTCTAACCACTGAACCCCACTGCCCTCCTAGAGCTGGATTAGGAACCCAGAGTCTGGCCTCCCAGTTCCTTCACTAACCACATCCCCTCCTTCGCAAATCGTGACGCTGAACTTGGCGGGCAAGGGGGCAGCCCGATCCTTGTGGCATTTCAGTCAGCCCACGGTGGTGCGACACCCTTGGTGCGGTGACGTCCGTGGCTCACGCCGCACGCGCAGGGAATGCTCACTGTGGCCGTCATCCCGTCTCCTCTCCAGAGCCCGCGGAAGGGCACGTGCTGCGTCCCAGCCATTCAGGGGACATGTCACCCTGATGGACCGCTCCATGCATGCCACCTCCGCCCCTGTGCACGGGCCATGGCGGCTGGGGGTCCTGGCACAGCGCCACCCTTCTTGGGATCTCAAAGCATTTTATTAAGGAGCTAACCCTCCACCCCTGGTTACCCCCATTTTACAGATGGGGAAACCATTTTACATTGCTGTTACCCCCATTTTACAGATGGGGAAACCGAGGCACAGCCCATGGAGGTGATTCGCCCCGAGAGTCGGTGGCAGGGCAGAATTTAGTGCTCCTGGCTCCCAGCCCTCTGCGCTCATTGCTGGATTAAACTCCTTCGCAGAGCCAGGAAAGGAATCTAGGATGCCTGCTCTCCCCATTAGGCCACGCTCCCTCCAGTAGCTGGGGATAGAACCCTCCACTGCTCCCCCCGCTGTGACCATTCATAGAACCCAGGCGTCCTGACTCCCAACCCCCGGCTCTGAGCTTGCCTTTGGGGGGAGCTGAGCAGCGGCACCTCCCCATGTTGCACCAGCCTAGAGCATCTGTCACCCAGCCCCTTGCTCTAACCACTAGGCACTGCTCTGCCTTGTGATTCAGCCTGCCCAGATGCCAGTGGGTGGGGCGGAGGCTGGGGGGGTGCGGGCCCCACCAGGCGCGTGACTGCTCTGCTGACTGGAGTCTGGCTTAAAATAGCTCCAGCGGCTTTGTACCCCGCTGTGGCCGGGCCCTCTCCCTGTCGCCTCTGGGGCTGGAGCTGCTGCCTTTTCCCAGCCGTGGGTCTGATTCCACAAGGATTGGGCTCCCCCCCAGTGTCAGTGGAGCTCGGTAATACCCCCGCGGGCTCTTTAATAGCCCCGCCTTCTTCAGACCTGTTGGGACCCCTAGAGTCACGGCTCAGAATCCCTTCCACCCGCCTACCCCACTGGGAGGGCAACACGGGCCCTGGAGGGAGACGGGGCTGGGAAACAGGACACCTGGGTTCTAGGCCCAGCTCTGAGAGGGGAGGGGAGCCCAGTGGGGAGAGCAAGGGGGAGGAGGCAGGATGCCTGGGTTCTAGGCCCAGCTCTGGGAGGGGAGTGAAGCTAAGTGGGTAGAGTGGTGGGCTGTAGGCCTGGCTGCAGGGTGGTTGCTAATGCGGAGGACTTGGTGGGAAGATGCCCTGGGGGGCAGAGGAGAGCGTGATGTGGAGAGGGATGTGGCCATCCAGACGCCTGCAATCGGCTCCTTGTGCTGCATCTGGGCCATGTGCCACTCGCTCAAGTCATTTCCCACCTGGGCTTCCCCCACCCCACCCCTCCGGCAGGCTCCCTGGGGAGCAGCTGTGTCTCTCTAGGAGCCTTGGGGGTGGCTCTGGGGGGAGCGGCGGGGGGGGGGGGCGGCGGGGGGGGGGGGAGGGGCCACGGGCCAAGAGGCGCCAGTCACCCTGGCCTCACGCCAGAGGAATGCGGAGCATTGCTCATGCTTTTCATGGGGACACCCCTCCTGGGACTGCGAGCGGTCCCCCTCGGCCGGGGCTTTTCCTTCAGGACGCGTGGCTATTGCTGCCCGTTAGGCTGCTTCCGTGACACGCTGCCTTGGGAGTGGGGGCTGGTGACAGGGACGGTGTCTGTGGCGCCAGTCACCCTGGCCTCACGCCAGAGGAATGCGGAGCATTGCTCATGCTTTTCATGGGGACACCCCTCCTGGGACTGCGAGCGGTCCCCCTCGGCCGGGGCTTTTCCTTCAGGACGCGTGGCTATTGCTGCCCGTTAGGCTGCTTCCGTGACACGCTGCCTTGGGAGTGGGGGCTGGTGACAGGGACGGTGTCTGTGCCCCCCCTCCCCATTTGTGGTACATCTTTAATAAGACAGCAAACTGCCTCTCCTGTGATCGAATCAACAAAGCAGGGACATGTAACCTCGGTGGGTGCACAACCGCTGGGAAACCGGTCCCAGAGTGGTGCACAGCCAAGCTGGAAGGGCATAACACGCCGGGGGAGGAGGGAGGCAGAATTACTGGGCCCCATGGCGAGGTGGGGGCAGCTCCTTGCTCCTGGAGGGGGTGGAGCTTCAGGAAGAAGGGGCGGAGCTAGGGGCAAGCCTCCCCTCACCTGCCGGAGCACACCGCCTTGGACTCCAGGACTGTCGCAGTCGCAGCGGTGGGAGCCCCGGGCTTTGAGGCAATTATCCCCCTTTTGCCCTCCTCCCTCCCCTGTCGGCGGGCCCGAGTCCTGTAGGATCAGTGCTGGGTCCGGTTCTGTTTGAAGAGTAGGCTTGTAAAGTTTGCAGATGAGACCACAATGGGAGGGGTTGCAAGTGCTTTGGAGGAGAGGGTTAAAATTCCAAATGCTGGGGACACTCCATGCTCTGGGGACAAGAGGGTGAAGTTCAATAAGGACAATTGCAAAATCCTGCGCTTAGAAAGGAACAATCCATTGCGCAAACACAAATGGGAAGCGGCTGTCTAGGAAGGAGCGCCTCAGAAAGAGCTTGAGGGGTCATCATGACCCACAAGCTAAATATGAGTCAATCGTGTGACACTGTTGCAAAAAAAAAAAAAAGCCAACATGAGGCTTTTTTTTAGCTGGAGTGTTGTGAGCAAGACACAAGATGTCATTCTTCTGCTCTGCTCTGCGCTGACTAGGCCGAAACTGGAGTACTGTGTCCAGTTCTGGGTGCCACATTTCAGGGAAGAGGTGGGCAAACTGGAGAAAGTCCAGAGCAAAGCAACAAAAGGTCTAGAACACATAACCTAGGAGGGAAGCCTGAAAGAACTTCTCTTCTTTACCGTGTTGGGTAAAGAACAGGTTAGGAACTATTTAGAAAAGCTAAACGTACACAAATCCATGGGTCCGGACTTAATGCATCCGAGGGTACTGAGGGAGTTGGCAAATGTCATTGAGGAGCCTTTGGCTATTATTTTTGAAAAGCCGTGGAGATCGGGAGAAGTCCTGGATGATTGGAAAAAGGCAAATGTAGTGCCCATCTTCAAAAAAGGAAAGAAGGACGATCCAGGGAACTATAGGCCGGTCAGTCTTACCTTGGTTCCTGGAAA